AGAAATCCATCGCTCCTGATGAAGTTCAAGAGAATAACTGAGATCTTTTTCAGGAAGCTTTCCAAGGCCTGGCTGAAAATTGCCTAATGCCAGGGTATAAGGCCTGAAGGCAGGTATATGCCATTCATCGCATGAGTGTATCTGTTTACACCCTCCTACGCATTTTTCCCCTAAGTGATTTCATGTTGAAACCATGTCTCTTCAAATGCAAGTACAGCCAAGAAGCTTGTGAAGGCAGGGAGATTCCGTCTGTTTCCAGCTAGATGCCAACTTAGAAGGACAATGCCCACGTCAAGACAACCTTAAAAAGAGAATATGTAGCACAATCCGAAATTAAGTAGCTGACAGATTTAATTTCAGAAAGGGTCCACAGATAGAACCAGAAACATCAGACTACCTGGTTGTTTGTTCTTTCAAACTAGAGAAGAGGCAATTTAATTGGAGATGGAAGAAAGTCTCTGAAGCTATAAAAAAAGATTAAACGAGGAAAACTACCGGGACCAGATGGATTGCCAGGCTCTTATTACAAATGCTTTGAGGATGAACTTTTACAAACTCTCCAAAATGCGATGAACTCTTATCTTAGATGGAGATAAAAGCCAAAGTCCTAGAAAGAGGCTAATACGGAATACTGAAAAATACTGAAAAAAGGGCAAGATTTAACTTACACAAAAGCCTATATAGGTAGTCCTTAACTTACAACCATAATGGAGCCTGCCCATCATGGCTGTAAGTTGTGATGACTACAAAATGGGTATGTCACGTGGCATTTTTTACCTTTTCTGCAATGGTTATTAAGCAAATCCACGGTTGTTAAGCAGACACTGTGGTCATTAAGCCAAACTAATGATTTGATACGGGTCTGGTTTAGCCAAAAAACATAAGTGCCGATTTTCAGTGAAACATGGTCATGTGACTGTGAGATGCAGAAAATGGCTGTAAATGCAGCCATGTTGCCAAGCACTCAAGATTTTGCCATGTGACCACAGGGAGGGGTAACCATTGAAACGTTGAATTTTTGTCATAATTAGCCACAAGGTACGTCAGTCATAACTTTGAAGTCAAGGAGTACCTGCAGACCAATCTCATTATTGAACAGTGATTGTAAGTTATTTACAAAGATTTTAGCAGATAGAGTGAAAGTAATTTTACAACAATTTATTCACGAAGATCCATGTGGATATTTTGCCTTAAAAAAATTAAGAGATATCATGATCATATGATATATTATTGAATATTTGGAATAGCATAATGAAAAACAATCAGCATTACTGTTTTATATGTGAGAAAGCCTTTGACAATTTGAATTGGCCCTTTATGTTTAAAAGTTTTAGATCAGAACTTTGGAGAGAATTTTATAAAATGGGTAAAATTGATTTTACAAATTATTGTAAATCAAGATTTAACAAAACTTTGTAGGATACAAAAGGAACAAGACAAGACTGACCATCATTCCCCCTTTTATTTTGGTTCTTGAAGTGTTGAATAGAGATACATGGCAAATTGAGAGGATACAGGGTGTAAAAAAAAACCCACGAGATGGAGCTTTTGCAGACCATTTGGCACAGGTTCTTTGAAGGGGTCTACAACATTAATGAGAAATTAAAAGAATTAGTGATTTAGCGATTTTAGCTATTTTTAAGATTAATAAAAAGAAGACAAAAGATACTGGCAATATGAAGATACAACAAGTCAAATAGAATTGACCAATAAAACGGGTTTGAAGATTGAGGAAAAGTTAAAATATTTGGGTATTAATTCAACAAATATGAGTTGTATGTTGTTTCAAAATATTTACGTTTAGACGTTAAAAAGGTATACCAAGAGGGGAAAAATTACAAATTCTTTGGGGAAAATTTCTATGATTAACGTTTTACCTAGAATGTTATTTTTGTTTCAAATAATAGTGTTTTGACAACTGATGTACTATTTAAACAGTGGCAGAAGGACATATCTAAATTTGTGTGGCAAGCTAAAAACCACGAGTTACATATAAAGTGTTACAAGATGCTAAAGAAAGATTTGAAATTGCATTTTGCCCGTTATTGTTTAGTTTGGATGAAAAAGTGGGCAATGCTGAGAAACAGAAGGTTACTGGATGGGCATGATTTGAGTTTTGAGTGACATGGCTACTTATGGGATGATAAAGTTGATGTAAGTTAAAGTAAATGTAGATTTCAAAAATCACTTTATTAGACATGTCATACTGAGAATATGGAACAGATACAAACTTAGGCTTCACCACAAGATGCATATTATGGAGTTGTTGGTGCTCTCTAAGCTTGATTGTTTTCTTGCAGACATTTCATTATCTAACAAAGTAACATGATCCTTAGCACTGAAAATGTTACCTAGTTGGATAATGAAATGTCTACAAGCAAATAATCAAGCTTCAAGAGCAATAGGAAGTCCACATTTCAACCCTGAGTTACAAATACTCTCTTCTATTGATGCATACCATAGAAGAGAAATAATAATTAAACATAATTGGTTAATCTATGGCGATAATGGTAATTTTTCCAGGGAGACGTTAAAATGAAATCAAGACACAATTTGATATCAGAAGGGTTCATATGTCAAGTTTTCATTAGAAAGATTCAAAGTAGGTAAAAGAGCTTTTGGTTTTGAATATGGCATGACAGAATTTGAAAGAGAATTATTTACACTTTATTGCTAAAATGTATTAATTCTTACTGAAACTTGAAACAGAAGATGAGCAAGTGAAAGAACGTACAATAAAATGGACCAAAAACATAATATACAAATAGATTAGTGGGAGAAAATGTGCATGAAATGAATGACATTCACATTATTTTATAATCTTAAAAGAAAATTTCATAAAGTGATGTATTGTTGTTATTTTTTCACCAGAAAAAAATGCCTAAAACATATAAAGGTACCTCAAATGAATGCTGGAAATGTCAACAAGAGGGGACTTGTAAAAAAGTAGATATGTATAAAAGCTAAAAAAAAAAAAAGGATTCAAATACAAACATTTATTCAGAAGATCTTAAAGACTAATATGCATCTGAAACCAGAGATATTCCTTTTGGGACTGATGGACAAATATTTGAAAAAAAAAACCTCATGGAACTTTATTTTTACGTATGATAGCAGCAAGACGTTTATATGCACACAATGATTAAAAGATTTGACATTACTTACAATGAGAAGACTGGATGATGAAGTTGATAGAGCTGGATGTGTTAGTGAAAGTAACACCTTTGGTTAGAGAAAAGACAATAATTCTGATTGGAAACCCCTTTGGGACTTTTTGCATGAAACAGGAAAAAAATGACAATGGATCTGAGAATTAGATAAAATGGTAGATCAGTGGTTTTTTCAAACTTTGTCTTCACCAAGGACCTCCCTATAAATACTTTTTGTGGCCATGGACCCCCAAGACTTAACTCAATATTTAAATCATAACATTTCTTCAAGCCTTCACAGAGCCCCTGTGATGACACCGTGCCCCCCCCAAGGATCCATGGACCACAGGTTGAGAACCACTGTGGTAGATCATAAAGAAACGAAAGCTGTGTTGTAAAGACTTCAATGTAAATTTATATTCATATCTGCTGCAAAGAAAAGTCAGAATCACTCCTTTACGTTTGTTTTTCTCCCTTTTTCTTTCTGCACTTTTGGCTTTGCCTGTTTTTTAAATTCTTTATCCGTTTCTTTCTTCTATCTTAATTCAGAGGTCCCCAACCTTTTGGGCACCAGGGACCGGTTCCATGGAGAGAGATTTTTCTGCGGACCAGAGAGTGCGTGGTTTTGTGTGCTGCCTGCATCCCGCAGATGGGGCTTTGCTTGTTTCTGCAGACCAGTTGCTGGCATGCTGCGGACCGGTACTGGTCTACAGACCGGGGGTTGGGGACCCCTGCCTTAATTGTGTTTATCTCTTTATCTGAAACCTCTAATAAAATTATTGAAAAAAAGGGAGGGGGCAACTTGACCATTTGAATGGCTTCTCTCACTCATCAAGAGCTCGAGGACATCAAGGTTTCCTATCAGATTCCAAAGGCAAGGAGCACCAGTGGTAAAAAAAACCACATCATTTATTTGCTTGTCTGCATAGAAGTGGAATCTGCAAAACTCATAGAGCAAAGTGCATTTGTATTGACACAGGCTACTACTGTGTTTCCCCAAACTAAGACCTACCCCGAAAATAAGCCTTAGCTTCATTTTTGGGGGGTGGGCCTAATATAAGCCCTACCCCAAAAATAAGCCCTAGCTTTGGGGTGAGACACACACCTAAAAATCAAGCTAGGGCGGAGGTGGGGGTGTGGAGCTGTCCCACGTGCCCTGCACCCACTTACCTTGTAGCCAGGTCTCTCCTCGCCGGCCCACTTCTTCTCCGGTGTCCACAGGCCTGCATTTCACAGTCAGGCCTTTCCGGAAGGCCCCTGCAGCCAAGAACCAATCCATAGTTCGGTTCTGGAAGGTTTTTGCAGCCAAGAACTGAGCTATACATTGAATCCATTGCTCAGCTCTCGGCTGCACAGGCCTTCCGGAAAAGTCTCTGATGGCGAAATGTAGGCCAGAGCTCCATTCTCAGCTGCAGAATGAAGCTGCTCCTTCAGCGGCAGAAGACGTGGGCTGGCTGGGTGAGGCTGTCGGTGCCAGAGGTGAGTGGAAAAGACACGCCCTGAAAATAAGACCTGGTGCCTCTTTAATAATAATAATAATAAAGTTGGAAGGGACCTTGGAGGTCATCGAGTCCAACCCCCTGCTCAGGCAGGAAACCCTACACCATTTCGGACAAATGGCTGTCCGGTCTCTTCTTAAAAACTTCCAGTGTTGGTGCATTCACCGCTTCTGGAGGCAGGTTGTTCCATTGGTTAATTGTTCTAACTGTCAGGAAGTTTCTCCTTAGTTCTAGGTTGGAGGCAAAAAAAAAAAAAAAAGACCCGGTCTTATTTTTGGTGGACATACGGTAGCCACTGGGCGATTCTGCAAAATGACTTTGAGGAAGCATTTATGTTCAAGAAACACCCTTTTATTATTCTTTTAAGACTTTGAGGAGAAGGGCTAAACTCTAGGCTAATTTCCCTTCAACACTATATAGAGCATGGGGAAGGTGACAGCCAGCATGGCACATGTGAAGGCTGTACTGTAGATGGAGTGCTTCTTCATTTGGGCTTCCAGCCTCCTTTCGGTATTGCACAACTCAAGAACCACCTCTTCTGCCTCTAAAGGCTGGCTCCTCGCTTCTGAGGGAAGGCCAAGTAATCCCCTTTCCTCAGGTACAGGCTGAGGCATAACTTTAATGTTCTGTACTTCACGAACCATCTGCCCTAAGCTTTTTTCCAAATTACTAAGCTGCTCTTGCAAGCTTCCGAGGAATGAGCTGATTTGTTTAGAGTAGACCAGCTGCTCCTTCACAGAAACCAAAAGAGGGTCTATTTTTAGTGAGGTGCCCGATCTGTCTTTAGTCAGGGAAGCCCCTTCTCCTTCCTGCGACGTCACCGTGGCAAGTTGCAGGATGTTCTTCAGACTGGCCGTGAGGTCACCGAGATCCTGTTGTTGGGAGTGATAGGCAGTGGCTTGATCTCGGATGGCTTCCTGAAGGCTGGCCGGGCCCTTCTGGGCTTCGAAAACTAAGGCTTTTAATTCTTGCAACCTAACTCGGTTGATGTAAGTGGAACCCAAGACCCCAATCGCGGCCCCCAACACCGAGCCGATAATGGACCAGTTCTTTGTCTTCTCGGCTCTCGTCCTCTCTTTTTCGTGACTTTCCCGCACAGCAGCAGAGAAGAGAGAGAAGGTTTCCCGCTCAGATTCTTCAGCTGTTAGGTAGTTGATCCGATGCCTTTTCTCTTCCTGTAAGAAAGCCAACAGCTCTTATGAAAAGCCATCACCCCCACCACAAGCCAGCAGTTATGTTAAAAGCCTGAAGAAACATAATAAAAGAAACCCAATGCATCAGACAAGATGGAATGAAGTCGGCCCCGTTTTACCACTCCCTGGCTCACGTGCCTTTTTCAAGTATTCGCTAAGTATTTAATATCAAGTATTTGATATTTGGAAGTGGGAAAGAAATATCTCACCTGCTGGTTTCTGCAGGACAAGGTGCTGAGAAACACACAAGTGGGACCATTTGCTTTTTTTTTTTTTCAAACCTATAAGGCAGCGATTCTCAACCTATGGGTCGCGACCCCATTTGGGGTCGATCGACCATTTCACGGGGGTCGCCAAGCAAGGCTGTCTGCCATTTTTTTCCCCTTTTCCAGCGGGTGCCTTACCTCCCTTGAGCTGGGCCAGCTGGTGGTCGGCCTGCTCCGTCTCTGCCGCTTGCCAGCTACGCCTCAGCCGGCGCAGGGTGCGGAACCACGCATGCGCGGCGCTCCCGGGCAGGTAAAGTCCTCAACTTATGACCGGTTTAGTCCTCGACTTACGACCGGTTTAGTCCTCGACTTACGACCGGTTTAGTCCTCGGCTTACGACCGGTTTAGTCCTCGACTTACGATCAGTTGGGGGTCACGGCATTAAAAAGGTTGAGAACCACTGCTATAAGGCTTGCTGATCTGCCTGCAGATTTGCTGTCAGGGTCCTCAGCATGTGATCTTGGCTTAAAACTTTAAAGTAAATGCAAACTGTGGTTTGACAGATAGTCCTCAAATTACAATTCAGTCTGGAATTTCTGTCACTAAGTGATGGAGTTGTCAGGGAAAGTGAAGAGGGGATGTGAAATGAATCAGGGAAGCTGTGCGAGGATGTGGTGCAGGTTGGGGATGGGGCAAAGGTTGCAAGGAGTTTTAGGGAAGGCGTAGCACGGGTCAGGTAGGATACATGATGGTGCAGCGTGAAAATCGGGGAAGGGATGTAAGGGTGTGAGGGAGGGTGTGAGAGGCGTGGAGAGGGTGAGCAAATGGTGGGCAAGGGGGTGCACGAATGGCAGAGTCCCTCTGTAAGGGAGATGAGCAGTTGAAAAATGTGATAAATAAATGCATAAAAATAAATAAATGGAGAGTCAGAAGGGGTGAGAAGACGAGAGAGGCGGGGTACTGTTTTGGGAGGGTGAAAGGGGGGTGCAAGTGGGTTGGGGAAGATGTGCAGGGAGGGCACAAGGGAGTGTGCAAATGGCATAATCAGGGTTGGAGGGGGTGCATGAAGTGCAAGAGAGGTGCTGTGTGGCTTAGGGAGGGTGTGTGTAGACGTGAGGGTGTAGCACAGGTCAAGGAGGACATGTGAGGGTGTAGCACAGGTCAAGGAGGATCCGTGGGGATGCACAAGTGACCAGGGTGGCAGAAGAGCAGAGGGATCTGGGGTGAATAAGCAGTTGGGGGCCCCGACTCCAGTGATCTGCAACATTCCCTGCCGGCTTTCCCATTGACTTTCTGGGGAAGCCAGCAGGGAACTATGCAGATGGCAATTGTGATTGCCGAGCACTGCAACCAGTCGTAAGTGCAAAGACCTAGATCAGGATTGCATGACCATGGAAGTGATGGGAGGGCTGCAACTACAAGGACCAGTTGTAATCACCATTAATTCAATGCCATTGTAACTTCACACAATTGCTGAACAAATGGCTATAGGTCAAGGACTACCTGTATGGTAATTTGGAATACAGCACCACAAATATGGTCCTGTTTAATGTTCTGGTTTTGGTGGGGAGAAAAAGAGGTCACTATTGGAGAGACAATACTGTTTATGGCTTTGAAGAAAATGTCCAGAAATGATTGGGAGAAAAGGCAGGACACAAAATCCAATAAATCAATAGGAATCAAATCAGGAACTCTTGCCAGAAATGTTCTATACACTGACCAGGTTCACATATTTTGTTAACTGCAGAATATTGACTTTTTTTTTTAAATAAATGACAAGAAGCTACATTCACACTCTGTCCTAAGCTGGGACAGATCATATTGCATGAAGTAGACATAAAACTGATATCGGATTGTAGGATTTATCAAATGTTCTTCTTCAAGAAACATTTGTTTGATGTGCACACTGTAAAGAATGAAACTGAATCCTTAGCATCCTTAGCAGGAACACAGGGAAAGATGCTTATAGCTTCTGGCCTTGACGGTATGCCGTCAGTTGGTGTAGCAGTACTGAGTTAGACTGATCTATCATTTCAGCAGCAAACATCCATCATGTGGTCTAGGTAGCAAACTGGAATCTCCCCAACCAGATTGCCAAATTCACTTGGTTTTTCAGAATCAGAAGCACCAAAATATACAGAAAAAGATTCATTCATTCATTCGTTCATTCATTCATTCATTCATTCAGACAGACAGACAGACAGACAATTTATATAGTGCCCAACTCACTCACGGTGACTCCAGGCAGCTGACAGAAATAAAACCCCAAATACAAAACCCAATAAATTCCTACCCAAATAAACCACTTGATGGGCTCCATATCACCCTGGGGTCCCCAGGCCTACTGGCAAAACCATGTCTTCATGGCCTTTCAAAACAATGTTATCTCTGTGGGGATGATGTTCCACAGGGAGGGAGCCACCGTGAAGAAGGCCCTTCTTCTTGGCCCCACTAGATCAGAGTTCCCCAACCTTTCCAGCTTTTTTTTGGGGGGGGGGAGCAGATGGTTCCGCACGAGTGGCCAGAAAGCCTGAGCGCACAGCTCCATTGCTCTCACAAGTGGGGATGCTCCCGAGGTCTGGTTCCATATGGCTCATGGCCCCATGGTGGGCTGCAGCCTAGGAGACTGCAGCCCACCAATCTTGGGGACCCCTTAAGAGGAGGAACCCATAACATTCCCTGTCTCCCTGCTTTGGTGGTGTGGGCAGCTGTAACTGGGAAAAGACAGCCCTTCAAATAACCTGGTCCCAAACCATGTAGGGCTTTAAAGGTAATAACCAGCACCTGGAATTGCACTCGGAAGCAAATCATCAACCAATGCAGCGCTCGCAAGAGAGGGAATGGATACATGTGCAAATCTAGACATTCACAAAATGATGCAGGCCGCTGCATTATATGGTGTTGTATCACTGGTCTATCTATATCACCAGTACTGACTGCCTACAGCTTCTGGCACTAAGATTAGTGAATCAATCTGGGATCTTGGATCCTTAGACAAGGATTATAAATGTTATAAAGTTTGTCTCTTAAAATGGGCACAGCTGCATGCATCGGAGGGATGTTTTTAAACTGGGTGGTAAAGCCCATTTCAGAGCTTTTAACAACTGCACCAATGAACTTTACAGAAGACTCAATATTGATAAAAAGAGTTTGGGGTGGTGGTGGTCCGACTGCCACTCTGAAACCTCAGAATTCCATTAGTCAAGCTCTCTCTTTGCAGTTTCACCAAGGATTGCCTGTCTGATTAACATGGACAGCGCAATGTGCTCCTCCGCGTGATTTGTTCAAGAGTAAATTTCAGAAACTCTAATGGGATTTACCTCCTAGTAATTAATAGAATGCAGATTAGAGGCCTACATGGAAAGGGAGATGCCAGATGTTCAAGCTGGCTTTAGTAAAGGCTGAGGAACACAAGACATTATTGCTGAGGCATGCTGGATAATTGGGATAGACAAAGAATACCCCAAAGAAGGCACTTCAAGGATTACAGAAAGCCCTTGATGGTGTTGAACCTGTCAAACGGTGGAATATGTTTTTAAAAAATGAGAATCCCAGATCATCTCACTGTCCTTGTGCAAAACCTATACATAGGTCAGGAAGTCATAGTAAAGACCGAACTTGCGTAACAGATCAGGTCCAGATTAACAAAGTTGTATACCGGCAATCCTTGATTTACAACCTCAATTAAGTCCAAAATTTCTGTTGCTAAGCAAGACAGTTGTGAACTGAGTTTTGCCCCATTTTATGAGCTTTCTTGCCATAGCTGTTAAGTGAATCACTGCAGTTGTTAAGTTAGTAACACGGTTGTTAAGTGAATCTGGCTTCCCCATTGACTTTGCTGGTCAGAAAGTGGCAAAAGGTGATCACATGACCCTGGGACACTGCAACTGTCATAAATACATGGCAGTTACCAAGCGTCCTAATTTTGACCATGTGATCATGGGGATGCTGCAAGTGTGAAAAAAATGGTCATAGGTCACTTTTTTCAGGGCCATTGTAACTTTCAATGGTCACTAAATAGGTGTAAGTCAAGGATTACCTACCGGTATACTCTCCTTTTATTTACTCAACCTATATGGAAAATATATATCAAGAAAAGTTGAATTGAAGATGATGGTCACGGTTTCAAAACTGAAGGAAAAACATAAATAACCTGGACAACACTGATAATTCTAACCTGATAGTTGAAAATGCAAATGATCCACAAGCTCTAGTAATAAAAAACAAGGAGCATGGTGAAAAAAAATGAATGAAATTAAATGTAAAGACCAAATTAATGACAGTCAGTGTAGCAACCAGCCTTTGAACTGACAATTAAGATACTGAAGTGTGGGAAGCCTCTGGATTAACTATCAACGGTAAAAGAACCAACAGTAAAAAATATGCCACAGACTAGTCTGGCAGAGTAGCCACGAAGATCTTGCAAAATATATTAAAAACCCTGGGATGTGTCTATACCAGTGGTGGCGAACCTATGGCACCGGTGCCAGAGGCGGCACTCACAGCCCTCTCTGTGGGCACGCGCACCGTCACCCCAGTCCTAGGCCTTCAGCTGGGTTTTATAAAACCTTTTCGCTTTAGGCCTCCGCTGCCGTGTGCAAAAAAAAAAAGGTTCAATCAATCAACTTCTCATGGGGAAAAAAAATCTCGCAAAGTTAGAATTGATTGATTGAACTTTTTAGTCCCACCCAGTCTGCCGTTACCACTGCAGCCACGCCCACCCAATGGGCCATGCCCACCAGGCACCCGACGATGCATAAGTGGGTTTGGGGTTGC